AGCAGTTTCGGCAATTCTTCTAGCTATTATCAAGGATGAATTTTATTTTACCAAAATCCACACTCAGAATACTTGTGGAAAATACATGTATAATAGCTTCACCAACGAGTAAAACAGACTAAAAAAAAATGGAAGCACTAATAATAAAAAAAGAAAAAGACAACACTCAATAACGTCAGCTATGAACACGGCCACAATCTGCTGACCGTGTCTGGAAAATAAAACTTTCCTGAAACTCCAGATACATACATAGACAATTCCATACATTCATTTAAAAAATAAAAATTATATTTAATGTTGGTATGCTATATTAAATATATGTGCTTGAGAAGGCGTCTGCAACAGGGATTAGCTAGCCGCCTTTGCAGACAGGCTTACTCGGATCAGAGTGGCTTGTCATACATAGACACAGATACATACATATACAATTATATCTATGAGAATAATGACCATATATATATATATATATATATATATATATATATATATATATATATATATATATATATATATATATATATCATAATGGTGTGTCAAGACAGGTGCAGCAAAATGTCAACTCTTGTCTGGACGCAGATGTGTCTTGAAAAGATACACAATCCACTCCCCGTTTTATTTTTTCAATATATTTTTAGTGATGAATTACAACCTGTCAAAATCCTGCCGACACTGCCCCATTCCTATACCTGTATTTACCTTTGCAGTTTCCTTTAGATCTTGTAAATGACATTTTCTCCCTCCGTTTTTTCCGACCTGTAAAGCTGGTGGGGTTGCCAAGACCTTACTTCATGCCGATCAGAATGGGTGAGAGAAACACGGTGCGATTTTCGTCCATTGCGCATGCGTAGATTTCGCTTTGTGTGCGCATCCTCAAAAGTGTGGGCCTGCAAGAATAAGCTGGAAAGGAATATTGGGAATAGAATCTATTTTTTCAGGTACTCGGATCTATGTTTAGCCAATTAGTAACGGATGTTACTAAAAATATCTCGAAATACTAAAGAGTGAATTTATTCAATAAAATCGCCATTGGTTTCAACCACGGCCTCCAGACGACTTCGGAATCTACTGAAGCTCTTCTGGACAGTCTCCTTGATTAAGTTGATGAATGCTGTCATAATCCTTGCCTTCAGTTCGTTTTTGGTGTTGCAAGGAGTTTTGTTGGTCTCTTGCTCAACTGCACCCCACACATAATAATTAAAGGGGTTGCAGTCTGGAAAGTTATGTAAGGGATGAGGTGGTCGAAGAAATTGTCTGGCAGCCATGACTGGGTTCTCTTGCTCATGTGGCATGGTGCAGAGTCCTGTTGGCAGACATAGTCTCTTCCAGCAGCCACCTTCTTGGCACAGGACAGCACTAACTCCTCAAAGCACTTGATGTAAGCCTCTGTTTTGAGTATGATGACCTATAAGAAGAAGGGGCATAACATCGCCATCACTAGTGTTCACGCCAAACTGGATATATCGTCTAACACTTTCAGAATCCTCTTCACAGCCCTCAGTAAGCTTTATCTCTAAAAATGACATATAAACAGAAAATATATATTTATAAACGAAAGTAAATTTTTTATATATCACACACGGGTAAAAATATAAAAAAAGGTTTGGTTTGGTTTGGTTTGTTTTACGGCATATCAACCTCTATGGGTTATTTAATGCCGACAAAATTTTTTGGCTGGTAATTTTTTTTTCAAACATATATTGCTAGTAATATTTTTTTTCAAAAAGTATTGCTTGTAAAATCTTTTTGCCTAAAATATATTGCTGATAACAATGTATTGCTGGTAATAATTTTTTTAATAAAGTATTTTTGGTATTAAGACCTATTTTTACACTTTCATAGTGTTTTGATCCCAGTTTGGGGGTTAACTATTTGCCCATAGCTGGGACCCCTAACAGGTGCTACCACCCCCGGTTAAGTTGGACCTCGGAACACCAGCAGTTAAGAGGTGGTTCCACGCTCGTCAAAACCTCGTGATCAGATGCTTTGCTGTTGGACGTAGTTTATCGTCTTACCCAGGACGCAGATGCAGTTCATCGTCATACCTAGGAACGTATAAAAAAGAAGTTGAAAATAATAGCGTAAAGTTACTCTAAATAACTATTCTTAAAGACTCCAGTTCTATGTTCAACTTCTTTTTGGTCTCTCTCTCTCTCTCTCCATATCTATCTATCTATCTATCTATCTATCTATCTATCTATCTATATATATATATATATATATATATATATATATATATATATAATAAAAATATAGTTTTAAGGCATTCTACATTTATAGGTAAAAGTATTCATTCGAGCGTATGTAGATATAAAAATATAAAAGTCGACACTGAATCAGCACCGAGTGGCGACCGTCTGTTTCACTTTTTAAACGCAATCTTCAAACCTGAACCCGCTCGGTGTTGACATCGAATATATATATATATATATATATATATAGATGTACGTTTCATTAAATAATATAGACAAGTTTTCTGTATTTATTTTAAGTAAATTCCTTTCATATTGTCTAATAAGCTTAATAACATTTTCATTGAAAGATGAAAGAAAATAACCATATTGATAAATGTTTTTTTAATCCTATCTAAGCTTTTGACTTACATAAATCATCATCAAAGATGACAATTAGATTAAAATGTATTAAGCAATACACGAACAAAACAATAATGATAGTCTGTTTTTGTTTACATAGAAGATTTTCAAGCAACGAGAAACTCGTGCATATAAGAATGTAATTGTTGTCTTTGATCAGGGCTTTTGTAAACTGAAAGCTTACATAGGATCAAAAAACATTTATCAATATTGTGGTTTTATTTCTTATTTTAATGATATTAAAGCTTATCAGACGATATGAAAAGAATTTACATAAAATAGACAAAACTTGTCTCTATTATTTAATGAAGCATGCATCAATATATATATATATATATATATATATATATATATATATATATATATATATATATATATATATATATGAAATATAAATAAATATAAATAAATATATATATGTATAATTATTTATATATTATATGCGCGGTACTTATTAGAAAGCGCTCAATATCAGAGATAGAGCTAACATATTTGGTTGGAGAGATGTGAGTTTGTGACCCTGGTTTTCACGCTTTAGCGATCGTTTGAATGAATATCATCAACAAGTTGTCCAATTTTTTATTAACTCCTTAAAATAAACATTATTTCTATTAATACTTCAAAATAGACAAAACTTGTCTATATTATTTAATGAAACATGCATCAATATATATTTATATATGTATATATATTTATACCTTGGTGCCTGAAAAGATTTTAGGTTGACTAATTTCTTGTTCATGGCTAAAAAAATAGCCAACAGGATTCGTTACCAACGGTCTATGTGACCCTGTTCTGTCGTTGTTTATATATATATATATATATATATATATATATATATATATATATATATATATATATATATATTCAAAACGAAAACAGCAAAACAGTTTAATGGCTTTCCTTTTAATTTGAGGTTGAAAAAGCGTGGGAATATGTTGTTTTCTGGCGGGAGACTCCCAGTCATGTATAAGAGCTAGTTCATAAAAAAAGTAAGTAAACAAATAAATAGATATAAAGAAAAAAAAAGGGGGGGGGGAAAGAAAAACGTGACTTGCCCACACAAAGATAAACCTTAAACTGATTACGGTTATAATTTACACTGATTGCGCATGCGTGGATATCCGTCAGTTCAGGTATGAGTTTGGATGCGAAATTGAATAGATTAAATGAGAATATACGAGTGTAAGTCAAAAGTTATCCACACTTTCGCCATTATATATCTTTAGGTTTGTTACACTGCCTTCTGTGCATGCGTGTTTATAGTTGGTACTATTGTGGTCATGTGGTTGAAGTTTGAGGCTGATCGCGCCAGTTGGCATTCTGCTGTTACAGTATAACCATGGCCGCTCTGCTAGCAGTGTGCACCAAGTTGGAACAAAGAGCAATGATCCGAATCTGCAGAGAACATGCTACCTCAACGATGATAACTCGCTGGCCCGCCATTACTGCTCTCGAGCCTTTTGAATGGTAGAGGCTGGCCGGTGTCCTGTTCCTTCTTCGTGCGTCACGATTTGTCTGGCCACTTTTAAACTTCTCGATTCACTCATACACACATCTACGCACTGTCGCCATATTGTGTTAATGAATTTCAGCCCCTGACACAACTTCCTACCAGAGAAATTGTGTCACCTTTTTTTTCTTCCTTGGTGCACACTGCTAGCGGAGCGGCCATGTTTACACTGTAACAGCAGCAAGAAAACTGACGCCATCAAGCTCAAACTTCGATCACGTGACCACAATAGTATTAACTGTAAGTACGCAGAAGACAGTGTGACAAACGTAAAGATATGTTATCACGAAAGTGCGGATAATTTTGGACTTAACCTCATACACTTGAGACTGTTCCCAGTGCACCGATAACGACTGGCACAACTGTCACTTTTATGTTAAACAATGTCCCCGGATCCAAGGCTAGGTCAACACATTATCTATCTGTTCGTGTTTCAGATCGACTTTATGATCTGCAGGAACACACAACTTCACTATCTCGTCTACTTCCTACTTGTTCATTGCCCGCTTATGGCTATATCACGGTAAACACCGGTTTTAGTACGATCACCGAAGTTAAGCAACGTCGAGCCTGGTCAGTAACTAGATGGGTGACCGGTTGCGAATACTAGGTGCTGTAAGCTTGGATATGGAGTGGCGTAATGGGTTTACGGTCATATCATGTTGAAATACCGGTTCTAATACAATAATCGAAGTTAAGCAACGTCGAGCCTGGTGATGGGTGACTGCTTGGGAATGCCAAGTGTTGTAAGCTTGAACGTGCGCTTTGTGTAATTGATAATGATTCGGAATTGTTAATCGGAGATCCGAGTTCCTGTACGATCAATGAAGTTAAGCAACGTCGAGCCTGGTCAGTACCTAGAGAGGTGACCGCTTGGGAATACCAAGTGTTGTAAGCTTGAACGTGCGCTTTGTAAATTGATAATGATTCGGAATTGTTAATCGGAGATCCGAGTTCCTGTACGATCACTGAAGTTAAGCAACGTCGAGCCTAGTCAGTACCTAGATGGGTGACCGCTTGGGAATACCGGTGCTGTAAGCTTGGATTTGCGGATGGTATGATGGATAACAGCTCGGAATTGAAAACGGGAGATCCGAGTTCTAATTCCTGCAGGGTTCATTATATTCACCTACGCGCAAATCTCACTTGGGAAAGGTATGAATTCACCTCTTTCCCCCAGCTATGGATTAATTAGTAGGACTTGTATCACTAAATTATTATCATCTCCCTCCCACCAAAAAAATCTTACAATCAAAAAATAATTTCTAGCGTTAAATAACCTGCAACATGTTGATAAGCCGTAAAAAGAAATTAATTAATTTCGTCTATTGCTATCAAATCTGGGCATCGGACCCGAGTTATCTGATTCTTATAATTATAAAAAAATGTTATTTTTCACCGAATACAAGGCACATAAACATTAATGGATATACCTCCGAATTTTTAAAAATCATATTCCTATGAGAATAATTTTCAAAATAAAATAATAAAAACGAATTTTATTTTTTATCTGGAACCGTGGAAATTCCCACGCGTGTTGAAAATTATTCATTGTTTCACGTCTTTGCACTTCTCTCCTTTTACCTGTATCTTCTCATTTCATCCCTTATCCTTTTCAAAAATTGTCCCCCAATGCTAGCTTGTCCGTGGAATTTGTACGAATATTAGCAACTAAGCTTATCCATTATACCTCAATACTTCTCCCATGATTTACCTGTATCTTCTCGTTTTATTCCTTATACCTTTCAAACATTATTACTTAAGGCTAACTAGACCCATGTAAATCTCACGCGTGTTTATTCATTATCTTACGTCGATACGTTACTCGTGCCCTTTGCTTTTATCTTTTTATTTTCTTGCTTATACCTTCCCAACTTAATTGTCTATGCTACTATGAACGTTCACGAGTGTCGATTCTGACGATAGTAATTGGCCATAGAGGGATATACGCTACTGAATCACCCCGAATAATACGACAACTTTCATGTAGCGGCCGCGTGTTTGGAAAATAGTTGTAAGTTGTTTTTATTTCTCACTGGGAGATGATCGAATTTCATTACTATGACAAGCGGGCAGTGACTTAAGAATGCCCAGGAGGCTTTGCAGGACATTTTTGGGCATGATAACGTGTTCGCAGGTTAGATAGATTTATTTCTGATAATGCCTCGAGCTTCGACAGAATATACTGCGGACCGATTGACGATCAGAGCCTAAAGTTAACCAGTATGTCTCATGAACCACTCCCCCCCAAAAAAAAAAAAAAAAAACGCCAATTGTTATCAAGAACAGAAATGAATAAAAATGCACCCAGACTTTCGTCTGAACATAAGCCAACATGAATAGATATAGTGTAGGCGGTTAACTTGTGCAGATATATCACAAATTGAATTTAAATTTAAGTCACCTTAAAATTGGTAAAATATTTGAAATGTTAAAAAGTATAATATACTGGGTGTAACAGCAAAATTGTCCGATTGTTAGATTAAACTTTGAACCGTTGTATCAGAGAAATGATGATTAAAGATATCTTACTGGAATTCTCCGAGGTTTTTATAACAATATTGGACTTTATTTTGAACAATAAAAATGTATTTATCTCTAGGGTGAAATGATGACCCCTCGTCCTGTTGTGACCGCCAGATCCACTTTTCCTCTCTACTGTTCCCTCTTTTTTAAAACTTATTCACCGTTCCCATGATGGTTCTGTATGAATGTTGGTACCATTACTGAAGGCCTGAATGATCTTTCTCCTTTCTCCATTGCTCAGTTGGGAAGATATCGTACGTCTGTCACAAAACGATTTAAACCTGTTCTTTTTCTAGCTGAATAACTCAAAGGGTTTTTCAGTGATTCTTACGATATGAATGTTGGTACCATTACTGAAGGTCTTAATGATCCTTTTCCTTGCATTATCTACATTATTCGGACTGTTATCACACCCACCTACAAATCATATATACTAGATGTAACAGCAAAGTTGTCCTATTGTTTTTTTTATAATTTTTTTCTCACTAGGAGATGATCGAATTTCATTACTATGACAAGCGGGTAGTGACTTAAGAATGCCCAGGAGGCTTTGCAGGACATTTTGGGGAATGATAACATGTTCGCAGGGGAGATTTAGATGGATTTATTTCTGATAATGCCTCGAACTTCGACAGAACATACTGTGGGCCAACTGACGATCAGAGCCTAAAGTTAACCAGTATGTCTCATGAAAAGAACGCCAATTGTTATCAACAACAGAAATGAACAAAAATGAATCTAGAGTTTAGCCTGAACATAAGCCAACGTGAATAGATATAGTGTAGGCGGTTAACTTGTGCAGATAGATCACAAATTGAATTTAAGTTACATCAAAACTGGTAAAATATTTGAGATGTTGAAAACAATAATATACAGCAAAATTGTCCAAATCGTGTAACAGCAAAATTGTCTAATTGTTAGATTACGCTTTGAGTTTTTGTATCTTAGAAATTGTCTTACTAGAATTATTCGAGGTTTTTATAATACTATTGGACTCTACTTTGAACAATAAGAATATATTTAGCTCTAAGTTGAAATGATGATCCCTCTGGCTGTTGTGACCTCCTGATCTAGTTTTCCAACTTATTAAGATGATCTTCGCCCTCTCTAACCTTCTAAATTTCTGTCCTGGTGTAATATGGTGTTTGATAGGTTTCACGTATGATTTCATTTTCAAGTCTTTTTTTTTTACTGCTCTTTGAACTGTCATAGCCGAAAGTCCTCTCTCACATGACAAACGTCTTATGAATTGAGTTGGATCTTTTCTAACTGATCATGATTACTCTTGCTGTCGCGACCCCCTGATCTAGTTTTCCTCTCTACTGTTCTTTCTTTTTTAAACTTATTCTCTGTTCTCTTGATGATTCTTGATGGAAACCAGCGTATGAATGTTGGTACCATTACTGAAGGACTGAATGCTATTTTTCCATTTAGCTTGGCTCATTTGGGAAGACAGTGAGGTTGACACATAACAATTTCAACCTGTTCTCTTTCTAGGTGAATAACCCGAAGAGATTTTCAGTGATTCTTACGACAGATGGTGTCAAGTTGGCTAAACGTCTTATCTGAAAACCTGGAGAAAAGAAACTCAATTAGTGTTGGGGCGCACCCACCTTCTCATCAGAATAGGCTGATCTCTCTACTACAAATAGGACAGTTCTATAGAGTTCTGGGAAGATCAGGTGACCATCACACTTCCGTCTCTCTACCGGAAGATACAGTTGGACTTTATACTCTTTCTGATTGTTACTGACTAACCTGCATTCGTTTGACTACTAATCTCTCTGTTGTAAATACCTCTTCGGATATACCAGTATTTTTCCCTACGTACGTGTTTGTCTTTATTTCAATACACGCACGCACGCGGAAACACCCAACATCTCAACAATTAGTTTAGAGGTTTTGTAGATATTAAACATTTTGTAGTATGGACAATTTTGCTGTTACACGATTATTTGGACAATTTTGCTGTTACATCCGGTATATATTTGAATGAAATTTTTATCCGACATTCTTTCTCATTATTATGAACGTTATTTTTAGTGGTTACACATGTTTGGGATGCAACCGCCATGTTGTTCATTTGACTGTTTGAGAACATAAAGAACAAAAATAGAAACTCAAATACGTGTACCCAGTAAAAAACGTTTACAGTAATAGATAGACATGTAAATAATAAACAGTCGGATAGATAGATAGATAGATAGATAGATAGATAGATAGGAACAAATTGAGTTTTTTTAAATCAGCAGATAATGAAGAAAAATATACATAGGAGTAACTAAAGGATCCTGGAAACAGAGCAACTACGCATACAAAACATCCTTTACAAATAATAAATACGTGAAAAGCACAATACTTTTTAAACATATATATAAACGTCTTATCTGAAAACCTGGAAAAAAAGAAACTCAATTAGTTTCGTGCTTTTTTTTTTTTTAGATATTAAACATTTTGTGGGATGGACAGTTATTCCATGCTGTAATACGATTTGGACAATTATGCTGTTGTATCCGGTATATGTCCATTTTTCCCACATCGAGAAATTTGGTGTCTGAATTTCACTGCATATAAATGCAATATGTGATTAACGGAAGGAAATATGAGAATCGAATTTACTGTCAATAAGGAACATTTTTTTCTAAGATGAGTTGATGTGTGGTGACCCATTATATGCTTGGCATGTGCTAAGAGATACCAAGATATGCTTTGCATCCGGTATCTCTCCTGAGCCTCAATGGAGCCAGGAGCATCAGAAGGAAGGTAGCTTCATAGCCACCAAGTACAGAATCGGGCCTTAAAGCATGTCTGAACCAAAAATGTAGATCGATCCAGCTGAACTCAGGACATGAACAAGCAGTTCAACCGGATAGCAGGATGTTATATAAGTGTCCCATGCAAGAGAGAAAGCATGCAGAATCTCCCACAGACTCGCTGGAAGAAGATAAACATTCGAAGATCGCCCCCAAAACCATACAGTCTCACGCTGACGATAATTGACGAAGTCCGGAAGTGAATCAACAATAATTAAACATGTGAAATATTTAGTCTCGGATTTTTATTAGTCGTTTATTACAGCGATAACGTCACACAATCTTCAAAATCTTTTTCTGAGGACTAGCGTCATTTGTAATTAGAGATAGAGTTGTGTCAGAATTCATTTATACTCTGACATAGCATTACATTTATTTATGAAGCGTAAGAAGAAAGATAATTCTCGGTTGTATAACTGACAGGTAAAATAATCACATTATAGTAGATGCTATAAGCATGAGAAATACTAAAAGGAAATTACTGGTCCTAATTTGGCAATTCGGGTTTAGTCATTTGCCTTAATGTTGCTTGTCTGTGTCTTTTCTATAAATACTTT